TTAACTTTAAATATTATAGTTCTACAAAACTCAAACATCTCTTATCTGAGTCTCCACCCTCCCATTTCCTTAGCCCCCAGATCTTTTAGTTTGCATAGACTGGTAGTCTCACTTTAAGCACAAATTCTCCAACACTCTCATCTTCTTTGTCCAGATGTCCCACAATGAGCTCCTCTGAAGTTCGCCAATTTATGTTCATTTTTCCTCATTTAAAAAGGGCAGTATATACTCTCACCGTTGCTGTTAATTTTCTGTGTTTTTTCCATGGATTGTAAAACCACCAATAGGCAAAAGCATAATGTTCACATAAAACTTTAAAAAGCAACATGTAATTGGAATGGACGCGTCTACACATTCATTAATGAGCCATAATTATATTGCATTATGTTTAGTACCTGTGGGCACTTTTACACATGGTCTGAGGGATGGGGGGCAGTGCTTTATTTAGAGCCTCTCTAATTAAAGCACCGCTCCAATTAAAGCACCACTGCATCTCCTGTATCAGAGTCCCCATGCTTAAAAATGGTGGTGGGTGTGCTGAAACTAAAGCTCATTCAAAAAGCTTTAGTTCAAGCACCCAGCTCCCATTTTTAAGTGTGGGGATGCTGATACACAAGATGCAGGAGGCTGCTGGAGTGCGGCAATTGCCACGCTCCAGGAAACTCCATGTGCTGGAATACCAGCATGTCAGAGCAGCGTCCATGCTCATGTATAGGTGCCCTGTAGGTACTAACTTAATGTACCATAATCAGCACTATACAGCATTGACACAAACAAATGGTCTTTTGTGATATTAATGCACAGTAGACTAAATCTAGAATGAGTCTACTGTGCTCAAAGCATCTCATGTAGACATGCCCAATAAGGATTTAATATCGTTGGTAAGCAAATGAGGTCAAGAAAGAGAGACTGAAACAAACATGTTACACAAACCAGGTTTTTAATTTCATACAAACTGAAAGATGCCAGTGAATACAAATATCAGCACAGAGTGGGAGACAAATGCATAGTAACTAAGCTCATTAACTGGTGAGTTTGCACATGTTGTATGCAATCTCAAATAATAACCTTTTACATTGTCTGTGTGTGTGTGTGTATTTTAAAGGATAATAATTTAAATAACAGAATCTTACATTATTTACTCAAGTGAAATTTCAGCTGTCTTCAGCATGATAGCAGGATTGGTCCAACTTTTAGACTTTAAATTAAAGTCTAAAAATGTGTAGTTTTATTAAAATGACAACAAATGTCAGTGGACACAGCATATTAATAAAGCCTGTCCTACCTTCCTCATTTAGGCAAATTTGCAATGGATACTACAACCAGGCCCAATTTTAATGTAATTATTTGAATTATTTCAAGTTTCTAGTAATGCAGCTTCTCCATCATATTAAATAATGGACTTCAGTTGTTTTTTTCTTGAGTAGGGACCTTATTGTTGTGTCCACTATGAAATATAATGTCATCCCCACACAACTAAGCAGTAGTTATATTCTGATTTTTTTCCCCCCTATATTGATACAAATCAAGAGAAACTACCAAGCTACCAAGTGGGCACATCTACATGTGCAGTTAATGCAACTGAATATGCTCTGGCCAATCCCAACATCACATAAACTAATCCCATAATTTAATCCTGACATCACTGCCTACACATACATTTAAGCGCGGTAATTTACTGTGTCATAGGATAGTACCCGTGTCTGATAGGACTGTCCTATGCTGGAGTAAATTATTCTGGTGTGCCCTAATTGTACCACATGTGTAGCCAGTGACGCTTAGCTGCTTATTAAATTAGTCTAATGTACAGTAAAGTGCATGTGTAAATATACCCAGTAACTATCAGGAGTAGTAGTGGTGTAAAATCAGTATGAGTCAAATTGGTAGCAACCCCATTTTTTCATACCCACATAGATTCTTCTGTCTTTTAGTGACATCTTCATGATTTCATGTTGATAACATCATATATATTGAGTCATTATTATTACTTCTCTTCACAAACCAGTTTTGTCATAATAGGTATTTGGGTTTGTAGTTACCTTGAGCAAATGATGATCTAGTGGAATTGGGTAATGCTTCCATGGAAGTGTATGGGACACACTTGGCAATGACATTAACAGTGATGTAAGCTGGTCATAAGCAGGTGTAAGAGGTAAAGTAGAAGAGCTTGTGCTGACCCAGAGCAGAGTATATTAATTCTGTATATAACTGAACTTATTTTCTCCCATGCTAATTGAGTGTGAGGCTGCTGGGCATTTCAATTATGTAACCGTGTCGAAGAAGAGGTGGAGAGGGAAAGGGATATTTTAAACATGCAAGTTACGACTATATAAGTAAATGCAAAAAAATCTGTATTATTTTACAACTAAATACAGAATCATAAAAAATACAGCAGATTTCAAGAGGTTAATTTATTTTCTTAAGGTGCACTGGTGCACCTCCTGTTTCTGTCATGTGGGCTCTAACAGCCAAATGGGTATTTGTCTAGAATATTTCTCTTAAAGAAAAATGTTGTTTAACTCATCAAGCATCTGGAGAATCTCTACCATTATTATCTCATAACCTGAAATTCTTGGTGAGAAGTAGAATACAGGTGCATATAAACACTAATTTGAAAACTAAAAACCATATTCCATACACAACATTTCCAGTGAAATCAAGGAAAGCCTTCTATAAATACTGATGTCAGAATACAATCTTTGATGTCCAGGCAAAGACTAACAGTAGATTCTGAATCTAAGTACAAAGTTGTGAAACTAGGCCAATTCCTCTAGAAAAGTAGAAATTAGTATGTGACTCAACAATGGCTACTTTAGTTGAAGACCCAATAAAAAGGTTATAATTATAGGAGAAAAGCATGATCAGTTTTGAATATTTTTTAAAATGTGTGTTATATTTTTAGAAGGAAAAATATATAGCAAGGTGAGTTCTCCTAAAATATTTTTAGCTATGAAAGACAAATTAATGTGGCTGGTGAATCTCACTGTTAGCATGCTGTATGAAAGACAAATTAATGTGACTGGTGAATCTCACTGTTAGCATGCTGCAATGCATAGTCATTGTTATACATGTAATTATTGTAAGCGATCCAGTCATCTGAACACTGATATTCTTGATCAGACTGAATGTACTGACAATAAACTGTTTCTTTTCCCAAGAAATAAGAGGGAGAGAGTCTTTGTAAAACAACTGCACTGAACTGATATGTCAACTTTCTTCGGATTTTAATGATTTCACCTGTTCTTCCATAGTTCCTCAGTGCTCTGGCCATTTTCTGGTACGTCATGATTTTGCGGTTCCCTTTTCTTTCCCCCCACAGCTCTGCAAGTTTCTCTTTGTTTTTGGAAACAAACTGGAAGACACCATTGGATTTATCCACCCACTGAATGCAATTTGCCATAGCTGGATCATAGAGAGACTCATGAAGATATTCAAACAGGCGAAGCTTTTTTCTCCCTATATAAGAAAATAAAATGCAAGTGGTCAGAGTAGACTTCAGATCTGTATTGATGGGCAGATGTCCATTTCCTGTTAAAGAGTCTTAAAGATGAAGCCTAAGCCAACCTAGTAGCCTGACGTGGATTAAAAGCCCAATATAAGCAATGCATTAAAATAGAAATAGAGTAATGGGGTTTATATTTGTAAGACACAGAGGGTGTATCTACTCAAAATGCCATAGAGTACAGTGGACTGTTCCAGAGCTTTTGTGGATTGGCACAGATTTTGCCATGATGCACTAATGCGCAATAGAATTAGTCTACTGTGCATTAAGCATCACAAAAAAATCACATTTGCATTTGCTACTGTGCATTAGCACAGCTACTGTGCCTTTATCTTACCTCAAATTAGAGGTATTAAACTTAATGCACAGTAGGAAAGGCACATTAATGAACATATAGATGCACCCAGACAGACCACAGTGATAGGGATTTGGTCATCACAGGATTGATTCACTGAGTTTGGGACGACTAGAAAAAATATTTAATGATTTTTGCCATCAGGGTACACACCTGACGAGACATTTAAATGGACTTCTAGTGAATGCTGAAGAACCAGTGCCTGGGACCAAGACCAATTTCTTTAAGCAGTACAGGAAGGAAGGTCTGGAGAGGGCTGGTAAAGACATTTTAAAGTAAAGGATTTTTTTATTTTTTTTTTGTCAAAATGTTGATTGGTTGAGTCTGAAGTATTACAAAACAAACAGCAATTCTGATGTACTACATTTTTGTTGCAAAAGTGGACTCTGTTCAATTCTAGAAATAGAGAGTTTGAGAGAGGTCGGTATAGAAACTGTAGAGATCTGTTTTGTGAATCCAGCAGGGGGCTGAGCTAGATGACCTTGTAAGGTCCCTTCCAGCCCTACTTTTCTATGATTCTATGAAGACCAAGCAGGTATGGGGAGGTGGAAAGGGGAAAAGAGGAGTGATTGCCTTGAGCTGTCATTTGTATTGATATCACTGAATGCCTCCCTCAAAGAATAGAATTACCTGAAGCAAGGTGTCTTCCCCCAAGGCATGATCCTTACAGGAGCATGGTCCCGTGAAGGAGGCCCCATTTCTGGGCGGGACTGCCTTAGTTTTTTTGTAGAGGTTGGGCAAAATCTTATATAAGCCTCTACAGAGGCAACTAGATTGGGAGTTAAAAATCTGATACAAAGAGGAGGATTTTTAAAATACTTGCCAGAGTGGCAGACAAGGTTCTTTGGGTAAATCCAATATCTTTTATTAGACCAGCTAAGAGTTGGAAAAATTATTCTTTGCAAGCTTTCAGGTACAAACACCCTTCATCAGGCTGAGGAAGTGTCTGCAGTCAGTCTGTGCTCTTCCTGGATGGGCCAGGAACATTGCCAGAGTAGAACATTTTTGGGAAAGGAGAATCTATGCAGAAGAATAGGTTTCACTTTGACCACAGTGGAAACAGTCTGCTGGTGCCTACAGCTAATAAGACTTTGGGTGACTGTTTTAAACTGGAAGCTAGGAGGAAGCTGGCAGCTGCCAGGAGCACTTAGACATCTGTTAGAGATGACAGTAACCCTGAATCTGGTAATAAAAAATAGGACCAAAGTGACAGCTGAACTAGGAGGAACAGTTTGAACTCAAAGGTACTTTCCAGAAACGTAACAGGGTGTCAGAAAAAGGAGTTAAATAAAAGTAGGCACATGGCTAGTCATAAATAATAGGAGCCCCCCCCCCCCCAATAAATAAATAATTAAATGCAAAACTATGTGAACTGGAGTGTCTGGAAATGGATGTGATCATAATAGGCACTCCTGAGACATGGCAGTTCGGAAAAGGTCAATGGGACACACTAATGAAACACCTGCCTACAAACTGTATAGGAAGTGACAGGAGCTAGAGGGAATAGCGAAAATCTCTATGAATACAAAGACCAAGTCATAAGAATATAGTCATATTAATAGTACTGTATATACTGACCTCTTAATCAGAAAAAGGATATTAATCTCTCTCAAAACTGTTGATTTAGGCAACTAAATCTACTGGAACAGCTATTACTTAAGGTAACTTCAATTAGTTACCTGTTAAATGGCCAAGAGTAACAATGGGATAAACTTTAGCTGCAAAAATTTAATGCTATATATAATTGTTCCTTGGAACAGCAAATTCTAAAGCATTCAAGGGAAAGAGTTATTCTTGACTTAGTCCCTAGGAGTTTATCCCAGTAGCAACTGTCATTGAACCACTAAGCATCAGTAACCACAGTATAATTAAGTTCAACGTCCATGGGGAAGAGATTATACTAGAAACTGGCACTGTGTGGCTAAACTTTACAAATGGGGATTTCAAAATGAAACAAAAAAAGGAAGCTACTCAAAAAGACCCTAACATCAAAAGCGAAGGGTGTCAACTCAGCAGGGAGGCTACCATAGCAGAATCACAGAAAGCCGGCTCACCCCTAGGCAAAAAAGGAAGCAAGAAGGCAAGTAATAAAGAGAGTGGTTAAACTGACTGTTCCAGCCAGGCAGATAGTCTTCAGAAAATGGAAATCCAGCTCCAGCAAAGTCAATGGAAAAGAACATAAACTACAGTTACTCAAATGCAAACTGGAACTTGGGGGAGCAAAGGGGTAATTTGAAGAGCACAAAGAAAATATTTAAGTGTGAAAACCTGGTGAGTATATTGGACCAGAAGGAATAAAAGCAACAATTAAAGTAGATGAGGATATTGTTGAGAGCTGAATTATGTCTTTGTATCTACCTTCAACTCAGGTGATTTGGAAGCATACCCAGGCCTACCCTTTCCTGATGATAATGAAGAGGCATTGTCAGAGACTGAGATATCAAAAAACGTATCTAAGCTAATAAGATTCTGGAAAAATAACAGTCTGCTGGAGAGGTTACTATAAATCACTCAGACGACTAAACTGTTCCACTCTACTGTTATCTGATTTACATCAGCTCAGAGCTGAGCTGTATTTCAATAAATAAAATCAAAAGTAAAGGAAAAAATTAAGAAAACAATAAAAGAAACATAATTCATCAGGTCACGGGGTGGAGGGGTAGAAGGATCTGGAGAGAGCACGAAGTGTACATTAGCATTCTTTCTACACACCTTTTCCTCCTTTTTGCTGGCTGCCAGATGCATGCATCAGTTGGTTTTCTGAAATATTCTGCAGGCTGCGGTAGACAATCTCATCAGAATAAAGATTTGTTGCGCTGTTCTTTAAAACAAACAGAATTACTAATAAAAAACACATGGTAATAAAAAAAACTTGAAAAGAATCCATTTTACAGGTAACCTCTGGAATTCTACTTTTTATCAGAGGAAAAACGAGATTTTTTTCCTTATTACAGCATTCATGAAGTTTAGGAGAAATGATTGTTCTCCTACTGAAGTGGGGTCTGGTGGGAAAATTGTAAATGTTCCCATCATCAAGCAATTTCAGCTGTTCTGTTAGGAGTAGGGAAGGGAAGAGAAAGAGCTTTAGGTTCTACTCCCAAATGCCTAGGGATATGTAAAAGGCTATGGCCATCTGGACTTCTGTTACAGTGCTCCGCTCTAGTTAGCTGCTTCCTGGCAGTGGGACTTCAGTGAAATTGAGCAAACAATAACTATCTCAGCAATGCTCCCATCTTCCTTCACTATTTGAACACTGCGCACTTCTACACTTGCTCCAGAGATGGGGGGACGGGCGGGGGAAGGGACGGGGAATCTTTTAATTAGAGCAGCTCCCAGAACCGCTCTAATTAAAGCGCTGGAGCTTCTCATGTATCAGCATCCCATGCTTCAAAATGTCAGCAAGGGCACCTGCACTAAAGCTCATTTGACAAGCTTTAGTTCAAGCGCCCCTGCCACCATTTTGAAGTGTGGGGATGCTGATGTAGACTCAATTAATTGAATCTATGTGGCACACTCCAGCAGACTCGATTAATCGAATCTGCTCTGACTCATTGTAATTATAGCACATTGGAGCAGCCTCCATGCTTATGTACCTACTGTCCTTTGAAAAAAAGCAAAAACCAGGAAAGCCAATTTGGATCAAGAGCCAAAATACTGCTTCCCCTTCCCCAGCATTCTAAAACCAAGTGGCCCAGGAACAGCATGTGCAGTACTTGACAGTCTGTTTTTCCCTGTGACGAACTACCATTCTAAAACATCCTAAAAAAGGAAGAAACTACTGACCCTAGAGTTTGTTCTTCTCTCTCTGCTCCCAGAAAATATAAAGGTCACCCCTCCTCACCCTAATACTAAGATTGTTTGTTAGCTTGCACAGAACTCCAGTGACTGACATAATCTAACCTACAGCACCAGATAGTAAAAAAAAATTACATCTCTTTACTTCTTGATTTTCTCAAATAGTTGGTCCTATTTGGTACCGCAAGCAATTAGTACTAAAGGGAGACCTTCAAACTCATTGCGCAAAGGTTTCTTATGTAACTATGCCAGAATTACTCTACGCCAGGATAAATTTTTGTTAGGGTGTGAAATATGAACAGCTTGTTATCTTTTTACTGCTGTGTAATTGATCTACTTACTACTACATTCCGCCAGTTATACACCGGTTCCTCTGTTGGTGGTGCTACAGAGTAGTTTGGGTTTGCTCGGAAGTGAGGGTGATGATTGATTACCGTCAGGCAGTTTTTACAATCTATTTGAAAATTAGGGAAAAAATTTAAAATTACACACAGACGAATAAGTGAGAAAAAGAGAAAAGCAGCAGAATTATTTATGGCACTGACAAACGTGCAGGCCCCTGTTCTAACTCATGGCGCTTTACATAAAATACCATGAGTTACAGCTCCCCCCCAACCCAATGGACATTCACTGGGCTGCATCAGCCCAGCCCTGATCGTGTGACAGATTAATCTTAGGAAATACAATTTCCCTAAGGTGGTCCAGAATGGACCACCTTCATCTGATCCCTCATTCGATGAGGGTGAATTGTCATATGATTGGCCACTTTAAAAGTGCTCTGCAGCCATGCACATGTGTCATGACATGGCTGTAGAGTGCTTTCAGGAGGCTAATCATGTTACAAACATAACTTCTGTCTGTGCCCTAAAATTACTTTTGCTTCAGGATGTCTTATCTTTCTATGGCTACCTTCTAGATTATAAAATCTCCAGAGAAAGCATTCTCAATATCTATGGTTTAGACAGGACCAAGCAGATTGTAGCCATATACATGTTCATTACTATTCATTAATAGGTTATCTGTTGTTTGTGGAAAGCAGAATGTTTAAAAAGAAACAGGCATTCATGGATAGGAAGCAGTTTGGATAATGAAGAAAATGCCTATGTTTACCAAATAGAATGATGAATGGGATAATCTTGGAAGACTACAAGTGTTAGATTGTAAGAAAGAAAAAGGAAACACTGCCTGTGCAAATTATACAATACAAGGTAATGGAATAAAATAAGAACTAAAATTCTGGAAACTTGATTCTAGGAAGTGCCATCTCAGGAATCTGAAAATCTTAATATTAAATAGTTTTAAAATGTTATAGGTCTAAACTAATTACAGGGATAACATTCTAACAGCATTTGAAGTGCCAGATAGAACTACACTGAATTAACTTAATCCCTCAGGATATTTATAGATAGCAGAACTCAGCACTGGATTGCAACATTTGGAGGAGGTCACATGCTACAGAAGAGGTCTTTAAAGAAGTATGATTACTCTATTTTGAAGTGGAGGCCAGGTCTGGGAAGTGCTGAACACTTTGAATTACATGTGGTTGGCATCTCCCTGGATTTGGTCCTTCACAGATTTGGACAAGAATAATACATTGCATATATTATTAACCTTGCAAAAAATGTATATAATGAGCTCTTAAGCCAAAGTAAGACTTTAGACAGTAGACCCAGACCAATTAATATCAGTAGAGGATATAACTTTTACATAGTATGTCTTTGCATTAGAATATAATAAATTAATATGTCAAATAATAATACATTCTCTTCAGTGAAATCCTAGTGCTACCAAAGTCAATGGCAGTTTTGCCACTGGTTTCAAGGGCAGCACCATAATTTAACCCCCATTCTTTCAGTGTTGACTATGTTGACATTTTGTAAAATTAACAATTATAGGAAGAGCTCTAGATGTCCAGTAGTCTAATATACAAGACTTCTTTACCGGAAATCTCAGTTTATAACCTGATTAATTAAAGATTTTTAAAAGCCAGCATATTTACATTAAGTTGAAAATTAATACATTCCATTTTCTAATACATTTCCCAGAATTCAAAACACTGCACAAAAAGGTTTGTCTTCATTTGTATTTAATTCACCTTAATGGAAATTAAGTGACTGTTGAAATCACTGGTACCTGAATTACCTTTTTTGTATTACAATGAATTGTTTCATCAGTTCACTCACAGTGTACCTCACAGAGCAATTTCCAACATGTAAACTGAAAAATAGGTACTGTACTGTAATCACGCATACTTTGAGAACAGGAAGCTATTGTCCAAGAAAAGCTGTTTAAAGGGTTTTTCCCCTTGTAACAATTTAAAATGATAACGTGAATTGCAATAATAGTCCTTTTTACCTGGTGGATACTGAATTTCACCATCAGAATGCTGCTGCAGCACTTCTAGGGCATCTTCAAAGGCCTGACCCAATATGTCTTGATCCATAAAATTCTGTAAGAACAACAGATCTTTTCAGTTTTAAATCAGCAAAGACTAGTTCTGAGTTATCATTCAGTTTTAGTTGGACACTCAAGGGCAAATGGAATAACAGCATGAAATATTGATAGAATAAACCATCCTGTGGGAACATACACTGGTAGCCACTTTTGGCTTGCACCTTAGAGAGAGACTCAGAGATGAGTGGAACAATTCAAGTGAGTAAATTACTCACATGTAAAAGTGTTTTACAGGCCGTTTCCTAAATTTGCAGGAGAAATTTTCAAAAAGAATATTCATTGTTACTAAGCTAGTTCAAAAACTTTAATAAGAAAGTTTATATCTATACTAGAATAGGACTTACTAACACCAAACCTATGACTCAATAACATACAGGTGATTCCACATGCTACACTCTAATTATGAACTGTTGGCAAGTGAGAATGCTACAATATTCTAATATCAGAAACCACACTGGTGTTTTACAAAACTGTTAATTACCACTGTAGGGTAGCTTTGTATTTTTTTTCACAGCAGAGAAAACAATACTTTTCCAAATTATGCAATCGCCTGAAAACTTCTAATGCAAAGTTTATAATCATCCTTAATGAAAAATAGAAATAAAGAGATTGTTGACTTACCATTACTTAGATACCAAAATGGAAATCCTGCTTAAACAAAAAGAATAAAATTTTAATATTTCAACCTGAATACAGTTATTTTGGTGAAATAACTGGAGTTACACAAGATTATTTCTCATGAAATTTAGGATATGCTACAGTTTAATATAAGATATTTTAAAGTGTTTGCAAAAATAAACACATCAGAGAGGGTGCTTTAGTAGAAGTTTTTAATGAATAATAATTAAATTAGTGGTTTTAGAGATTGGTCTTGGATTTTGTATAAAAAACCCCACATAATTTCTTTTTAATAAGACCCCGTGAAAGAATGCCATGGTATTTTCCATAAAGATATTACTTTTACATTATAATCTCACATATATTACTTTTATACACTAACATTTTAAATTTTAAGGTGAATAGGTATTACTACATAATTACATTAACTGCTTAATTTCCCAGAGAATATTAACCTGAATTGACTGCAGGTATTTGCTTGTAAGTCTTTTATGTTAATTCTTGTTAAATTATTTCACACGTCACTGAACCAAGAGTAATTTTTCCTATTACAGATTAGCATATAAATATATATACATATATCTAATCCTCCAGAGTAACTGTTAGCTTCTTCAGATAATTAGATTGTTTTACAAACCTTGATAATAGATGTTATTCCAACCCCAAGTGGAATATGTGTTATATGTAGTGTTACTTATAAATGATTCCTCAGTTTTTTCTTTTTGGCACACTTAGCATATCGACACAGATTCTTATAATTATTTTCACAGCCTTAATTAAATACCTTGCGTTTTTTTCTTTTTAAATGTTAACATATTGAAACTTTCTAATTATTTTATGAATCCATATTTACCTCATTAGAGGTAGGATCTTGGTTTGTTTAAAAGAGCAGAAATGTTGCCAATGGATATAATATTTGACTTCATGAGGGGAGCAAGGTACAGTACTTATCCAGATGAAGGTCAGTACTTATACAAATTTGTTTTGCTGGACCATACAGATCTAATGTCCACCAGAAGTTTGGGAACCATTGATCCTTCCAGATCATGGTGCATGCATGAGAGGTCACCCAGACCTTTGGTGCATATATCTAGGGAGGAGTCGGGGGTGGTTTTTGGAGGCATAGAGGCTGCCCAGACCTTCCATCCCCCCCTTTAGACCACTAACACAGAATCGAAAGGCCAGACATTTGGTGCCTCCATGTCTGCACTTGTATAAGCATCCAGGAATTAAACCCAGGTCTCCTGTATGGCAGACAAGGATTCTACCACTGAACCACAGGGGACTTCCTACCAGAAGTAGCAAACTTTACAAAATGTATCACATACTTTCCATATACATTTAAAGATCTATTTTAAAACAATGATTGAATAAATCACTACCACATCTATGGTATCAAACAAAAAGAGTGAAACCCTGGTTCCAATGCAGTCAAAAGACATTTTCTTATAGACTTTATGGAGGTCAATATGGCACCTGCCTCTTGTGCTCAAAACAGGAGGGATCAACTTTATCTTTGGTATAAATCCACTGATTTCGACTTTTGGTGTACCTGAAAGCAGATTTGGGGCCATGTTGCATGCCAAACTTTAGAAATATATTTAAAATCTGTTTCAACATTGCTAAAATCAGTAGTTGTCCCCTTGACATATATGCAATCATACATTAAAACCAGCATTCCTTAAATTTTAATTGACCAGCACTTGTGAAAATGATTTTTATATTGCCCTATCTCCAGAATAATAAGTAGTACATTTGATTGCAGTATCTGATTATGGTTTCAATAACCTACAAGGGTAAAATATCAGATACCACTGAACGGCTGTACCATTTACAGAGCTAAAAATTACAAAAGCCTCCCCCTCCCCCAATAAAAAGTTATACCTTATTTTTCAAAGAAGTCTGACCACTTACCTGGGATAGGAACTTAACATACAGCACAGCAGTCAGTTTAAAAATACTGAGGGACTGAATTTTACAGCAATAGGCTGGAAGAGGGGATGCATTAAATAGCTAGTTTTGGGGAAGTGATTCAAGTAGGGGGTTTTTTTTTAGACTTAAGGTATAGTGCAGCGCCACTATGGCTTTTAATTTAGCTCTGGGCCATATAAAAATCATCAGGATACTTCAGAAGGGTCTTCACAACAGTAGGGTGTTTTACTTTGGAATTAAATAAAATGGTGTAATCATTGTTTAAATTATGCAAAATTATAAGCAACTGAAACTGATTCCATTTGACTGTAAGAGCCTTGCTTGCAAAACTGCTATGAAAACGTTACATCCCAAGCACATAATCTACATCCTTTCCCTCTAATATAAAGATGATGATGGATTTTAAGGACATTTGGGAATAGATAAGAACTTCCTGGTTGGCTCAGTCCAAACAACAGACTAAATCAAAATACAGATCAGAACACCAAAAAACTCTGGGGAAATTTGGATCTGGAAATCAATGTTTAGATCAGTGGTTCTCAACATTTTTAGACTCAAAGGTACCCCTTGGAAGATGCCAGCTTTTCACTTCTACTTGTCTTTTGACTGTGGGAAAATAGTATACCAAGTCTTATATTGCAAAGAACTCTGAAAGACCATAACAGGTCTGAATGGTCTTGTCACTATGGATTCCTAATTGAAATCTCTGGTTGTGTCCACACGAGCATGGACATTTGGTTCCCCTGGGACAACTAGCAGTGGGAGACTTTGTGCCACCACTAGTTGTCCCTGGGGAACGCCTGTGCCATGCGCCCTCTGGTACACAGCAGGTTGCCTGGGGTGGGGTCGGGGAGGGTGGGGCCAGTACTAAGCTGGCCCTAGCAGCCTTTCCTGGGGTCCTGAGGGCTTCCTGGGGCTACAGCAATGCTGTCTTGCTGCACAGAGCCTGGCTGGCAGCTGGAGTATGGCTCTGGCTGGCCAGGCTCTGGTTTTGAGTGGCACATGCTGCCCCCACATGTGAAGTTCCAGGTTTTGGGGGTTTTTTGCGCAGGTTTTTTTGACCCCTGGAGAATAGCTGAATGTGTGGTATTTGGCATTGCAGATGTGTCTGCGTCACCACATACCACACAGGCATGGTTGTCTAGATGTGGCCTCTGAGTTTATTTTATGAACCGTGTGTGGGTGTTTGTACACCTAACAGTGATAATATTGTGCGGCACACTACAGGCCGCTTAAAAGTATCTTGCACTACCCTGGTTGAGAATCACTGGTTTAGACTGTAGTTTGGGGTGGGCATTATTCTAAATTTTAAAGCCAAATTTATCACTCACTACTCAGGCCTCTGAGTTTTACAAATCCTGGAAAACTGTCATTGCCGCTTCTGTGGCAAACTAATTTGATTAAGGAAAAAAATACCCTGAAATAACAAGTCCTTCAAAACAGGTAGGTACTCTGTAACTGGTTCTTTGCAGTCCAGAGCTCGTAAATGTTAGAAGATATCACTCTGTTACCTGGGCCTCTGCAAAAAAAAGTCCTCAGAGGCAAGGCCATCTGTTTTGGCAAGTATTCCAAATGACCTCAGTTGTCTGCCACAAACTTCCATAAAATAGCAATCACTGTCAGCACTGTCTGTCTAAAGCTCATCTATTAGGAACAGTTGACAGAGAGTAGCACTAAAAATGGCTATAAATTGTAAATATAACTGATTTGCAGACAAAATGATATAAACACCCAGTTACTTGAGGGGTATGACATTCAAAGCTACTTTTCAGTCCTAGGCCCTAAATCTTCAAGATATCTGCCATTCCTTCCTAGAAAAATACTTGAGTTATAAAAAATACTCAAGTAAATACTTTCCTGGTAAAATTTTTGAGTTATTCTACAGATGCATGTTATAGACCTATTCTGATCTGACTTGATTTACATAGGAGAATGAATTACAAGAAGCGTTCTTAAGGTGTAACATAATTCAGCATGGGAATTGGCAGCAAAGCTGATTAAGCAATTAGTTTCCTGTTCAACTGTTACTAAGCGGTTGAACTTGGTTTACTCTGTAACATAAACATAAAGAGGCTCCATGGCTAACCCCCTTTTCTGTAGCAAAGGCAAGTAACAAATTCTTTCTAGTTGTATCAGAATTTAAAAATAAGAATGGGTTCCAAGATCGATAGAAGAAATGTGCTATACAGCAGCACTTCTCAACCTTTTGCACCTTATGTCCCACCAACCATTTTGTCAAAAAACCCTGGTCCCATCATGATAAAAAGAAAACCCCACTGTTCAAGACATCCGTTGATTCATCTATTTGGAGTGCAAACAACTTTGATTTTTTCAATCCGGCTATGAGTTGAAGTCCCACCTACACGACCTTCGAGTCCCACCAGTGGGATGCGTCCCACTGGTTGAGAAACACTGCTATACAGTATTTGTCAGGCGCCCTCTACATGGGCAGGTAAAGGTGAAATAGGATCTAATATGCGATTCACACAATTGTACCATGCCACATGTGCATGACAGGAGGTGCAATTGTGGGATGGTGCATTAGATCCTATTGTGCTTTATTTTTGTTGCAGGGGAAACCTGATCCTGGGCTCCCCCTGAACCAGTAAGAAGCAAGCCCCATAAGCTGGGAGCCCCCTTAACAGAGGAGCTCCCAGCTGCAGGGACACCCCACACACCTCTGCAGCTGGGAGAGACATCTGCCATGACCTTCCTGCCTTGGGGTGCATGAAATCCCCAGGGCTGGGAGATCATGACTGCAGCAATCATCCAGCCTCAGCAGTATGTGAAACCCCCTAGAATAGGGAGATTACTGCAGTAGTGATCTCCCTGCCCTGAACCTTTCATGCAGCCCCAGGGCTGTGATACTGTAATTGCACCCTGTGGTATTGGAAGGTACGCTGCACGGTCCCACCATCTGCAGCTGTGTGACTCTGACTTCCAGGAGCTACGGGGTGCTGCTGGAACCCAAAATCTGTAGCTACTGAGGCTGACAGTCTCCAGTAGTTGAGGGACTCGCAGTCCCAGCTGGGTTTCATGCACCTCTGTGCTTGGGAGCCCAGTCAGGAGCTCCCAGCTGCAGGGGAGACCCTGCTACATGTGCAAATTAAAGCTTAATAGCAATCAGCTGGAAAGCTAATGCACATTATCAAGGTCTAACCTTATACCTGGTTGGAGCTTTTCATGGAGTGATATCTATTTTGCATGTGTAGCTGGCCTCAAGGTAATTGCACAATTAACTGGTTAATTGTGCAATACCTGTAATGTGTAGAGGGGCCCTGATTTGCACACTCTGAATTCAGAACAGGAGTTACAGGGTTCTGACCTCAGTTAAAGCAAAGTTGACTGAGAAAACATTGATTAAAGTTTGTGAAGTTACAACAGTTTACCTGAGATCCAAATCTTACCCCAGGTTCTACTGTCTTCCTATCAGCTAGAAGTTATTACTTATTGGGAATTACACCTGCAACAATGCATTTTTTATCTACACCTGCATGTAGGCCCAAATTCAGGTTGTTATTCTTTTGTATTACAATTATCCCCATATTGTTCATCTCAGCCACCAAAAATGCTGTAGTGAAAATGAAATGGGGCTCAGAGGCAGAATCTGGCATAAAAATGAATGCCTGTTAACAGAGCTGACCTGAGCAGGGTGTGGCGCCCGGGGCAAATCAGACTGTGTGGGGCCCTGCCCCTGCTCTGATCCAGGCCCCAGACCTGAAGGTGGCATCAGCAGCAGGGGGTGGGGGTTAGTAAGTGGCTAAATGCCAGTCCACCCAGCTCCGCACCGCTGCTGCTCTGCCCTGCTCCATGGGGGCCCCCAAAGCACAGGGCCTGGGGCAGTCGCCCCAGTTCGCCCCCCACCCACCCAGAGATGGCCCTGCCTGTCAAAGTTATCTCATCATTATGTTTTCATTTATGATACCAGGCCACAATATTAAAAAAATAGACAATACATTTTCTGTTTTCAGGTAGAATTGGAAGATGTTATAGGTAGCGTTATCGCAAATGCAACTCTTGTTTTATAAGCTGGCCTTAAACTCCCCAACCAATTTGTATAATTTAATCATTTATGAGTTTCCTATTAGGGCTCAGTCCACAACCCTTTGAAGTCTATGGGAGTTCAGAATTTGTAACGTAAAGGAACTTTCCAAATTTGGGTTTTTCATTTAACATCTTTTTCATTTATCACTGTTTAAAAGCATATATTCAAAGGGTACTATAGCACTAGCATTCACAATAACTTGAAATCTCATTCAGATCGGCATGTTATTCTTAACCAGGCTGAATTAATCCATTCTTATATAATTGTATACTGTCAAATATACTGTTCTAGATGTAAGAATAGGAAAACTTCATAGTTCCATGAACTGTGAATATCTTCTTACTACATTACTTATCATAAAGGCAGTATGTGAATGCTTGAATGTAAGTTATTATCATTCTAAAAATATCTATCTTGTTATTTCACATGCCTCCTCACACAGAACTTGACTTCCTTCTGATGGCAGGATGGACACCAGTGTAATAAAACACACCTTCAATCTTTGCAAAACTTGATGTCCCTTCATAACCTAAGATTCTAAAATACAGGGTCAGAGGGAAATTGCAGATCTGAAGGATGCCTTCTGACTTATATCACTAGGGAAATTACGTTAGAACAGCTTTTTATAAACCTTTTTATTCATTGGAAATATGTATTTAGGGTCACTAGTTCATGTGAAGGATCTCAAATTACACTTAAAAATATGCTTGTCTGAAAAAGAGGTGGTCACGTGTGCAAAATATATAGTTGCACATGGAAAACATAACTAAACACACAAGTTACGGATTGTCTGTACAAGATCATGTGGTACAAGTACAATTGTGCATTTTGTATGAACAGTTAGCTATTTGCACCTGGGCACATATATTGAGACATGTTTTTGAAAGTTGGGGCCCAAATGCTCTCTTCACGTACTCTAATAATACATAGTTACTAATAATTCTTGTGCTTTTTATTCATCTCAAGGTGCTTTTGAAGGGGAAACAGTTAAATATCATTCTT